AGTGTCTGTCCCTATTACCAAAGTAAATCATTGCAACTGGTCCATCACAAGCAGAAAGATCGACCTTGAAACCCAAGTCAGGAAATGAAACATCTCCATTGGTGACATCAAAACAATCAGATTTATGTGCCAACTTTCCGTTTTTGAATATTGGAATTGATAAGAAAAATGTGGTTTCAGAGATGTCACCGTCAACATGGGGAATATTAGAAAACTTCTCAGAAGTAAAGGTTAAGTTGCCTGCAATGCCTTCATCATTTTCAGAGACTGTGGATTTGAGTTGACTGAAGGAAGGTAATTTGAACTTTTGCATCTGTTCTTGAGATTTCTTTGAGAAAAATCTTGAAATTGTTTCATACTGCTTCAAATAAAAGGCCTCAAGCTTATATCTGAAGGGTAACCTGGCTTCCTAAGCTTTTTGGATATGTGACACATCTGCTAAGGGGGGAACTGAAATGGCCAAAGAAATAAGTTATTGCAAAACCAACCACTTTTTTAGCCTGGGTGATAAATATCCAAATGTGAAAGTAATCAAATCAGTAATCAGTAATCAGATCAAATCATGAAGACAGGAGAGATAGAAAATGAGACAGAGAGACGGTGGTTTTTAACTTTTGGATCCAAGATTTTATGTTTGGCATCTACAGTCAAATTCCATTATTCCTCCTCATTGGTTGGGTTGTCAACAAGGGACAGAGATACATTGACCACCTTGCCAATGCCACTGATGGTTGCTCTACCAGCAAGCTCTTTGGCGTCCGGTACAGTGCTGCAGATCTCACTTTGAGTGAGAGGGCTGTGTTTGATGAACAATTTGTGGGACACTGGATTCTGACCAAAAGGTCCAGACAAATACACAGTGTGATTGCAATGTAGGAAGTTGGTATCCAATGTAAGAGATAGGGATTCCAGGGGGACACTGTGTGGCTCTCCTTTGGCATCTTTCAGGACCAGCCTTGTTGGTGTCATGTGATGTGCAAGAGCTTCTTCCCCTGGCTGCACTCGCACCGGCTAACAATATGCAAAACAAGGAAAGAAAGATCAGCAAAGGGATCTAATTTGTG